TATAGGTTGTCGTCTCTCTGCTTGAATTCTTCAAATGAGAGGCAGTCCTGTCCTTTCTGGGTCACGATTTCCTCTGTCAAACTCTTCTTAATTGAAAGGCTTTTCTAATTTAATTTAGCACCTGCCTGGCTGTAATTTAAGGATGAACTGCAGAATTCCTCAGGAATCTTTCACCCCTGTTATTAAGCTTTTATCTCCTACTCTTTCTCTCAATTATAAATATCATTGATCCAGAAGATGTCCCTTAATCTTCCTAGTGTGTTGCGGCAATAAATCTGGGGACAAACAACACAAATCGAACGAACATCTAATGTTATGACTTCTGAGTTGTTTCACTTTAGGCCTCTTTTAGCCGACAGAAATTTGAAATTGTTGATTGTGTTGGCGTCTGGAGGTCTACAGGTAATCCTCGACTTACGGCGACAATTTTTTAAAAAATTTTTTTATAAACCTACCACGATTGTGCCTAAATTTTCCTTTGTTAAGCAAGACAGTTGTTTAAGTGAGTTTTGAGCCATTTTACAACCTTTTTTGCCACAATTGTTAAGTGAATCACAGCAGTTGTTCAATTAGTCAGATGGTTAGTTCAGTGAATCTGGCTTCCCCAATGACTATGGGGAGATGCTGCAACAGTCATAAGTGTGAAAAACGGTCATAAGTCACTTTATTCAGTGTTGTGGAACAGTCTATACACGTGAGTGTTAAGCGAGTTTTGCCAAATTTTATGACTTTTCAGAGTGTTCAAAGATTGCTAGCAGATTAGACTAACGAAGATAGACCGGCAACAAATTAGAATAGAATAGAATAGAATAGAATAGAATAGAATAGAATAGAATAGAATAGAATAGAATAGAATAGAATAGGAGTTGGAAGGGACCCTGGAGGTCTTCTAGTCCAACCCCCTGCTTAGGCAGGAAACCCTACACCACTTCAGACAAATGGTTATCTAATCTCTTCTTTAAAAAATCCAGTGTTGGAGCATTCACAACTTCTGGAGGCAAGTTGTTCCACTGATTAATTGTTCTAACTGTCAGGAAGTTTTTTCCTTAGTTCTAGGTTGCTTCTCTCCTTGATTGATTTCCATCCATTGCTTCTTGTCCTGCCCTCAAGTGCTTTGGAGAATAGCTTGACTTCCACTTCTTTGTGGCAGCCCCTGAGATATTGGAAGACGGCTATCATGTCTCCCCTGGTCCTTCTCTTCACTAGACTAGCCATGCCCAGTTCCTGCAACCGTTCTTCATATGTTTTAGCCTCCAGTCCCCTCATCATCTCTGTTGCTCTTCTCTGCACTCTTTCTAGAGTCTCAACATCTTTTTTACATTGTGGCCACCAAAACTGGATGCAGGATTCCAAGTGTGGCCTTACCAAGGCATGATAAAGTGGTATTAACACTTCACGTGATCTTGATTCTATCCCTCTGTTGATGCAGCCTAGAACTATGTTGGCTTTTTTGGCAGCTGCTGCATACGGCTGGCTCATATCTAAATGGTTGTCCACTAGGACTCCAAGATCCCTCTCACAGCTACTACTATTATTACTGTATACACACACTGTTTCAACTTTGTGCCTCTTACCAAGGGCAAAGCTGTGTTCTTAACTTGTAAAGAATGGCACCCATGCATACACGTATGTGATGGAGGAGAGAATTGTCAGGACGTAGGTTTAGATCTTAGTTCTTTAGAAAACAATAGCTAAAGAGAAAGAAATATAGAATTATAGAATTCTTTATTGGCTAAGTGTGATTGAACCCACAAGGAATTTGTCTCCGGTGCATAAGCTCACAGTGTACATATAAACAGGAAGTAATAGGTCATAGATCATAATAAACAATTGCTAAATCATAAGAAACCTACAGGAGAAGATAATAGGAAAGATGAAAGATGAGAAATGAGACAGTGCTGCGGGAATTAAGTGTTCAGCAGACTGATGGCATGGGGGGAAATGTTCAGCAGAGTGATTTACAGGTAGTCCTCAACTTACGACCACAATCGAGTCCAAACATTTATGTTATGAAATGAGACATTTGTTAAGTGAGTTTTGCCCCGTTTTATGACTTTCCCTGCCACATTTGTTAAGCGAATCACTGCAGTTAACAAGTAATAACACGGTTGTTAAGTGAATTGGGTTTCCCCATTGACTTTGCTTGTCAGAAGGTCGCAAAAGGGGATTGTGTATCCCTAGGACACTGCAACCGTCATAAATGTGAGACGGTTGTTGAGGATCCGAATGTAAATCACATGACCGTGGGGAATACGGTTGCAAGTGTGAAAAACGGTCCTAAGTCGCTCCTTTCAGCGATGTTGTAACTTTGAACGTACACTAAACAACATGTTGTAAGTCAAGGACTACCTGTATCTAGTAGTTTTGGCATGCAATGCCCTATGTCAGCATCCAGAGGGAGGAAAGTTGAAATAGATTATATCCAGGATGTGACAACATGTCCGTTCCCATCAGTGGCTGATTTCAAAAATTTTTACTACTGGTTCTGTGGGTGTGGCTTGGTGAGCGTGGCATGGCTTGGTGGGTGTGGCTTGGTGGGCGTGGCAGAGGAAGGATACTGTAAAATCTCCATTCCCACCCCATTCCAGGGAAGGTTACTGCAAAATCCCCATTTCCTCCCGATCAGCTGGGGCTTGGGAGGCAGAGAATAGATGGGGATGGGGCCAGTCAGAATTTTTACTACCGGTTCTCCAGAACTGGTCAGAACCCGCTGAAACCCACCTCTGGTTCCCATGGAACAGCAGGAACCCGGCACCATTCAAAGCAACTTAGATGAGATAAGTGGGGTTCATAACAGATCCTGAATCCGAAAAGATAAAGAGCAAATAATCAATAGCCACCGCAGAAGGGTGAACATCCTGAGCGAGGGAGTTAGGGACTGGAAAGAATGTAATAAAACCTATATTGACTTTTATTTTCCAAGAGAAAAAGCAATAAGCATACAGCCCGCGGTTATGAACGTTTCCTTTCGTTGTTTAATCGCGTCTTTGGCAATTGACTGCAGACACTGAATGCCGAGGATGCTAAGAAACCTCTGGGAAAATGCTGATGGGGATGCATTTATGGAAAAAGAAATGGAACGGTGCGAGCCCCCAATTCTGAATGTGATCAGCGGCATCTCTGCAGAAACCTGATTCAGCAAATGGGTTCTGCCTGGGGCACAGGAGCTAAAACAAAGGAAAAATGATGGGCGCAATGCCGAACAACACGACGATGCCGTCCCAGACTTGGGGTTTAAGAAACGCTTGTCCACTTTTCAGCAATTGCAGTGTGTGTGTGTGTGTGTGTGTGTGAATCTCGCTAGGTACAAAAGAGGTTGCTTTGCCTAGGGCACTTCACTTCGCCTGTTAAAAGGCCTGTAGAGGCTTCATTTGCAAAACACACGGAGCTTATTTCATTTTAACCTTGGTTGGTTTGCATCTCGGTGTGTGATGCAAATTCAGCCCATTTGGTTAGTTTATGATTCGGACGCATTGCGCAAATCCAGAAAAGGAGCTGAACCAGTGACCAAGTTAAGCATGTTATTCAAACCAAGTAAATGTAGTTGTTTTCTTTTTCTTGGTGATCAGATTGCCATAGGAATCCTTCCTTCCTTCCTTCCTTCCTTCCTTCCTTCCTTCCTTCCTTCCTTCCTTCCTTCCTTCCTTCTTTCCTTTCCTCCCTTCCCACCTTCCCTTTTTTCCTTCCTTCCTTTCCTCCCTCCCCACCTTCCCTTTTTTCCTTCCTCCCTTCCTCCCTCCCTTCCTTTGCTCCCTCCCCATCTTCCCTTTTTTCTTTCTTTCCTTCCTTCCTTTCCTCCCTCCCCACCTTCCCTTTTTTCCTTCCTTCCTTCCTTTCCTCTTCTCCCCTCCCTCCCCACCTTCCTTTTTTCCTTCCTTCCTTCCCTCTGTCCCCACCTTCCCTTTTTCCTTCCTTCCTTCCTTCCTTCCTTCCTTCCTTCCTTCCTTCCTTCCCTTCCTTCCTTTCCTCTCCTCCCTCCCTCCCCACCTTCCCCTTTTTCTTTCTTTCCTTCCTTCCTTCCTTCCTTCCTTCCTTCCTTCCTTCCTTCCCTCCCTCCCTCCCTCCCTCCCTCCCTCCCTCCCTCCCTTCCTTGTAAACTGGGTGCAAACTAAACTGCAAATTCCCCACAATAACTTTCCAACAAAAGAACATCTCAAAATTCACATTTCCCACTCTATTAGTCCCAAATAGAATTAAAAAAAAATCATTGTTATTCTAAATGAAAGATACACTTTCTCTTTCTCCATTTCTGTCTTTCCTCTATTCATCCACCTCACACTTTATCTAGCAAACTGCTTTTGATTCTCCACAAAGCACAATGCAAACAGATATTGTATTATGATTATAATTAAGCCCAAATCACTTTTTATCAGAAATTATCCGGGGGGACATTTTAACGAAGAGACTGTCCTATTATTTTGAAAGGGATACAATACAGACCTTTCCTTTTAGAATCACGAAGGATTTTTGTACGTGTTCCCAAATCTATTTTTCTACTTTCTTCATAGAAAAAACAACCATGATTCATTTTGCAACAATACCATCAAGACTGGCAATAGCGATATTAATATTAATAATACTAAACTAAAAGTAGATATAAATAATGAATATGGTGGTAAACTTTAACTGTTATGACACAAAAAAATTGTACCCAGACGACACACTGTTTAATGAACGATGAAATGTTTTGTATTAAAAGAAAATTAAAAAAAAAATTAAAATAAAAACAGGGGGTGGAGGCAATGGCCCATTAATCTCAAATTCAGCTTTGCAAGGACCAGGTAAACTCGTTTCATTGCCACCTGGGCGCTTCTAGCATCCTTCTGGCCCTGCAGGTAGCCTTCACCTGTCCTCCCGAAGGAAACCACAAGCCCCAGAATGCATAGCGGGAAGGCGGTGTCATGCGAGTCGTTATATCCCACCTCCCCGAGGCCGTGATAGGGCGGTGGACGGCCGACGGACGCGCGGATTGGCCAGGAAGCGGTAAACGGGGGCATGGCCGACCTTAGCGCGTAGGCCCAGTCAAGATGGCGGCGTCTGAGGCGACGGGAAGATACAGGATCGCGATGAGCAAAAGCAAGGATCCCTCCGGCCTGCTCATCTCTGTCATCAGGTAGCGGCGGCCGCCCTTCCTCCGACGCGGGCTTGAGGGTCCTGGGCGAAGGCGTCACCTTCCTCAAGCAGGGCGGACCGAAGGGGGAACTCGCTTCCTTGGGACGCGGGGAAGCGTTCACACGACCCGTGTCAGGGCCTGCCTTCGCGTAACACGCGAGTGTCGTGACTCGTAATAGGTCGTTTCGGGATGTGGAGTTAGCTTAGGGTGAAATATACTGTGCCACCCCTGAAAGTGGGTTAGTTAAAAGACCCGGGATAAGCGTGTTGTGGGAATGACAGGCTCTGGGTCAGGGCCAGAGGTGAATAATTCACAGGGAAGCTCGTCTCAAATGGTGTCCGCCAAATATTTGGAGTCTCTGAGGCAGTCAGGATTAGGTTTCTTCAAGGTGGCCCTTTCTTGAGTGTTGGACTACCGACCCCATGGTTCTCAGCCTTCCCAGATCTGGAAAACATCTGTGTATTTTGGTGGTGGTGGTGGTGGTGGTATGATTTCAGGTTTAACTTCTTTGGGGCTGCTGTAATGTGTTTGGCCATTTGATCCTGCCCATTAGGGTTTGTGGACTACACTTCCCATCATCCCCATCAAAGAGGGGTTCCCAGCACGCCTCTTTTGGCTAACTTTGGACAACAAAATTAATTTGGTTTCTCCCATTTTCTCCACAGCCACAATCCTGCTAAGTACATTAAGCTAAAAAATGGATAAAGTCCATTTTATGACCGTTTGAACGGTGCTGAAAAAGGTGACTTATGACCGTTTTTCACACTTATGACCGTTGCGGCATCTCCGTGATCAAAACTCAGAGGCTTGGCAACTGACTCACATTTATGACGGTTGCAGCGTCCCAGAGTCATGGGATCCCCTTTTAACAACCTTCTGAGAAGCAAAATCAATGGGGAAACCAGATTCACTTAACAACCATGTTACTAACGTAGCAACTGCAGTGACTCGTTTAACAATTGTGGCAAGAATGGTCTTAAAACAGGGCAAAGCTCACTTAGCAAATGTCTCACAGTAACAAATTTTGGGTTAGGTTGTGGTCCTAAGATGAGGACTACCTTCATTGTTAACTTGCAGCCAAGATATCTGAAGGCTGACTTTTTTGTAGCTGCCAGCCTCTCCGTTTATGATTACAGGTAGTCCTGGACTTATGACCACAATTGAGCCCAACATTTTGGTTGCTAAGCAAGTCAACTGTTAAGTGAGTTTTGCCTCATTTTACGATCTTTCTTGACCCAGTTATTAAGGGAATCACTGCAGTTGTTCAGTTAGAAACACAATTGTTATGTGAATCTGGCTTCCCTATTGATTTTGCTTTTTGGAAGCCAGCTATAAAGTTACAAATGGTGATCAAATGATCCCAGGACAGTTCAACTGTCACAAATAGATGGCTCAGCACTCAAATTTTGATCATATGATAATGGGGACCCTGCAGTGATCGTAAGTGTGAAAACCAGTCCAAGTCACTTTTTTCGGTATTGTAACTTTGGTCACTAAACAAATGACTGTAAATGAAGGACTACCTTTAGTGAGGAGTTCTAGTAGGGATAAGGAGACCCAGGTTTAAGATCATCTTTAATCATGGAAGCTCACAAGTGAATTTGGGCCAATATCGGATAGTCCTTGGCTTATGACCACAATTGGGCCCAAAATTGCTAAGTGGAACATTAGTTAAGTGAGTCTTGTCCCATTTTATCACCTTGCTTCCCTCAGTTGTTAAGTGAATCAGTGCAGATGTTAAGTTAGTAAAACGTTTGCAGAGTGAATCCGGCTTTCTCATTCACTTTGCTTGCTAGAAGGTCATAAAAAGTGATCGCGTAACCCTGGGGCAGTCCAAAATTTGGAAATATGAATCAGTTGCCAAGCATCTGAATTTTTTATCACATGATCATGGAGACTGCAACAATCCTAAGTGTGAAAAACGGTCATAGGTCACTTTTTTCAGTGCCGTTATAACTTCAGTGCCGTTGTAACAGTCAGTGAGCGGTTGCAAGTCAAGGACTATTTATACAAATGAGAAAGGAGCTACGAATATTTACAGGTGATCCTTGACCTACAAGCCATCTGTTTAGTGACCATTCGAAGTTACAACCGCACTGAAACAAGTGACCCACAACTGGTCCTCACACTTACAACTGTTGTAGAACTGAAAAAGCTTCTTGGATGAGAAGCAAAACATCTTCAAGGAAAAACAAAGGCCAGTTGCCTTTTGAGAAAGCACCTTTGGGACTTTCAGCTCAACCTGTGCTCCAAGTTTGTTGCCTGGAAATTGGAAGAGGGAGTACTTGCAAACACCAAACTGAAATTGCAGAGGAAAGGTGGAATGTAAATCTTAACAGATGAATAAATAATTGTTGCATATTTGCATCTGACAAGCAGTTTTTCTACTTTGGGGCTGGTTGAGATGCATTGACGCCTTTCCAGGGAGTGTCATTTGCTATTTGTGCTCTGTGCTGATTAAAGTCAGAATTAAATTGTTGGATCTCAACTTTTTTTTTATTATTACTGTACTTGATATGTGATGCTCTGGAACTAGCACTGCCATGCATCCACTGTCAATAATTTTTAAGAAGTTGGGGAAGGAAGCCAGTGGCGAATAGAACACAATGTCTTCTATCATGAAGGACAAGTGCCAGGAAAATCTTCTGTTCTGCTTTATTTTGCCAAAGAACAGGGAAACATTTTCTGAAGACTTGATCATGGTGGGACTGCACAAGTAGTCCTTGAATTATGACTAAAATTGGGAACAGAATTTCCATCGCTAGGCAAGGTGAGTTTTAAGTGAGTTGCGCCAAATTTTAAGACCTTTCCCCCCAAAGTCGTTCAGCAAATCACTACAGTTGTTAAATGAATCAAATCACACAGTCATTAAGTGAATTCGGCTTTCCCCCTTGACTTTTCTTGTCAGAAGCCAGCTGAGGAAGGTCGCGAATGGCAATCAGATGATCATGGATCCTGCAGCCGTCATGAATGCATTTTGGTTGCCAAGTGCCTGAATTTTGATCATATATTGTGGGGGATCAGTCATACGTCACTTTTTTCAGTGCCATTGTAACTTCAAACAGTTGTTAAATCAGTGATTGTAAGTTGAGCAAATACCCGTAGTTAGGCGGGATGGCTTAGTCTTTATTTGTTAATAAAAAATAAACTAAGATTCTGTACCAAAAAGATGTTGGTTATTGTGCCAATGAGCATAAGCCAACTCGGCCAATTGGATCAGATTTGTTTTGTGCCTCAGAGGTAAGGAGGCTCAAAATCTATAGCACTGAAAGACTTTTTGGGGAAATTGAAAATTGAATTCTCAAATCTTATCAGCTACAGTGCATTTGATATAGTGGTAAGAATTCTTTCAAATGTAAGGAAATCGCGCAATGTTGTGGTTGGCGGGGAACTTAGAAATTACATAGTCCAACCTGCCCAGTGCAGGAATCCACCACTACAGCATTTCTCTTCAGGATATGGGGAGAGAATATTCTATAGGTCAGGCTGGACATAAAAATAGTTTTTTTTCCCTGAATCCCCATTCCTCTCAGTAAGGGGAATCTTAAGCATATCGGCCAGGTACTTCTGAAGGATAAGTAGATTCCGATCAGAGAAAACAACACAGCAGGAAACAAAACTTTACAACTTCCTGATCAGGGTGGATTTGATTTAAATCAAGTTGATTTAAATCACAATTTAAATCATGATTTAAATCACTAGTAAAAAGGCTTGATTTAAATCAACTCGATTTAAATCATAATTTTTAAAGAGCTCTGCTACTCCTTTGACCCACTGTTGACTCACCGATAGTCCCAGTGTTGCAGAATATACAGCCTCATGCTACATAACTAAGCTCCATTTCATGCTGAATAAACTAAATTATTTATGTATCTTAAATAGAAAACTATCTTACGATAGATTTTTGCCCCAAAAGTTTTTTATTAAAATAAATTCGATAAAAATAAAAAAAAATCCGATTTAAATAAAAAAAATCCAATTTAAATCAAAAAAATCTGATTTTTTTGATTTTTTTAAAAAAAATCATTGATTTTTATCCACCCTGTTCCTGACCCATAAAGCCATATAGGTTCTAAACAGCAGATTGAATTCTACTCAGATGTCTATTGGTAACAAATACAATTCCCACAAAATTAGTGTGATTCTGAATGTTGAATCAATATTCAACATCCTGTTTCTGATAATCTTCAAAAGTAGCCGTGTTTACTAAGCTTTAGATCAGGGGTCTCCAAACTTGGCCACGTTAAGACTTGTGGACTTCAACTCCCAGAATTCCTCCCAGAATTTCTGGGGGTTGAAGTCCATAAGTCTCAAAGTTGCCAAGTTTGGAAACCAGTTTGGAGCTCCTTCTTTAAATTAATAAAAAAAAAATGGAGACATTAAGTGAATGGTTGTAAGTCGAGGACTACCTACATTAAAAAAAACTATGTAGCTGTCCAGCAGGAATTCTGGTTTGCAAGACGCAAGGCTGACGGAAAACAGGATTGAGCTTCAGATGCACACTTTTTCAATTGAAGCTCAACTATTGTTCCATTTGAAGATTGACTATATGCGCTGTGATGACTTTCTGCCTGTTGTTACTTTTGATACTTTAGAGGAAAACTAGCATTTCATTGATTTTGTCTGTGCTGGTTACATTTTGTGAGTAGGCTGCAACTTCCCCACATTGCTTTTTTCTGATAGCAACCTTTTCCCACATTTGTTGTTTAGCATTGCTTAATTTGCTGTTTCTGCCTACTCAGGGTGTATTATGACATCCCATCTGCACTGTGTATCTGTTGTGTTAACATTGTTTTAAAAAACGTTGGTGGATGGTATGGCACTTGTGATTGCAGGCTTTTGCTGGGATAAATTCATGCTGACAGGCAGGGTTTGCACAGAGATTCTTACTTATGAAAGTAGACGGGTTAGAATAATTTAATTTGTGCTTGTGAAGTTCAGCTGTGTTTAAATTTGGGAATTCAGTAAAGCAGAAATGTTAAATTCAGGTATCTTAATGA